TGGATAGGTAAAAACTTTTTTCTTATTCTGCCAAATCAGGAGTGACGTCTGCATTGAGGTAGGGTTTGAATGTTAAATATCAGACCCCAGAAATAATCTAGACCAATATTTTTCAAACTGCCAGTGTAAACCCATTTAAGAGGTTGTAAAATTAATTTAGTGAGTCACACCCAACAATTAAATTTTTTTTGTCTGTATTGATTTTACAGAGAGAGACAGATATAAACATCAATGAAGAGAGAACATCATTTAGCTGCCTCCTGCACATCCCCCCACTGTGGATCGGGCCCACAACCTGGGCATGTGCCCTGACCAGGAGTTGTGCTGGCGACCTCTTGGTGCATGGATCGATGCTCAGCCACTGAGCCATACCGGCTGGACAGAGCCAACAAGGTTTTAAAAGGAAAACAGAGTTAAAAAATGCCAGTGTGGCCATGGCCTGATTGTTCAGTTGGTTGGAGCGTCATCCCGTACTCCAAAAGGTTTCGGGTTTTGGTTCCCTGTCAGGGCACATACCAGGTTGCAGGTTCGATTCCCATTTGCAGCATGTGTGGGAGGTAACCGATCGATGCTTCTCTCTCATATTGATGTTTTTTTCTCTCTCTCTCTTTGTAAAATTGGTGAAAACATATCCTTGGGTGAGGATTGAAAGGGAAAAAATATATCAACGTGTTACTTGTAGCAAGGGTAATATTGTTTTGAGGAACATTTCATTTATATGTGTTTATGTTTCTTCCGAGTCATGAAGTCTTTCTATTTCTTGTTGTGAGTTGTAGTCAAAAATGTTTGAAAGCTACTGATCGCTACCGCCTTAATAAACTGCATTACTGCTTCTAATGGGTTTTATGAGACTGTAAGGTTATGCAATTGTAATTTTTTTTTAACCTTAGAACTCTAAATTATTCTAAACTATTCTAAATTATTCTATATTATTTCTGAACATCTAGGCTTATATTGTAGCACCATGCACTTGTGGCGACCACCAATCATTCTTAAGGAAATTAGGGCACTATTGTCATATTTAAGACTGCATTATATTTTTATATTTCAGTTTGGCAAGGAAAAAGTGTACAACTATAGGCCCAGCTATATTGACCAACTAACTGCCTTTTTCCCCTGCAATATACACTAGCAGTAATCAAGAAAAGGGACACTTTAAAATTTAACTCCAAATAAACTTATCTATATTTTAATAAATAAAATGTGGTAATAAAGATTTGATTGAAAACTGTACAATTCTCACAGACCATTAGCGAGTCTATGACCTACATATTAGGAACCACTAATAAAGAAGGATCCAGTGTACTCTCTCATGAAGAGAGCTGGGTCCTGATTTTGATGAGTTTTGTTAATTAAAAGAAAAAAATCGTGACTTTTATTTAATAAAACTTTTCAGAAATTTTTCAACTTTATTATAATGAGAGTAGAATTGTGAGTAATAATAGTTTTAACAGTAGTAACAACAGCAAAGCAAGTGTTATAGCAAATAATTTAAAATTCTATTAAAAATATTAGCTAAGAAGTGTTTAGTGCCCTGGACGGTTTGGCTTAGCGGTTGGAGCATTGGCCTGTGGTCCAGAGAGACCCGGGTTCGGTTCCCGCTAAGGGCACGTACCACGGTTGCAGTTTGTCCCCGGCCCTGGTTGGGTTGTGTGGGTGGCAGCCACTCGATGTGTCCCTTTCAAGTTGATATTTCTCTCTCTCTCTCTTCCTCTCTCTCCCTCCTACTCTATCTGAACAAAAAAATGGGAAAATGTCCTCGGGTGAGGACAAAAAAGAAGAAGTGTTTAGTTATCATGATTTGTAGAGAAAGATATGTGCATTCCTAGTTTAGTTGGTTCAGCCAGCAAGTACATTAGTTTATTTTCTTTAGATTAAACTGTAGGCAGAGAAAAAAATTCTTTATCTAGCACCTTAAACTTTTCAGAATCTTAAAGTTATTTGTTTTTGTGTTTTCTGAGTTTTTACCTTTTCCCCTCCAAAATAACATTTCCAAGTGAACAACTAAAGTATCCTTCTTTCCCTGAAACCAAGAATATTATCAAGATCCTTATTTCTGACTTACTTATAGGCATGATAGTTTATTTAATAAGATTGATTAAATGTCCATGGCCAAAGAATGGCTGCTTAATGTGTATGTGAAGTGGTTCCTATAGCAAAGTACTTTAGATTACTTGACTATCCAGAAGTGTCCAGAAGGCATAAAAGAACAAATGACATTTAAAAATCTTTACATTGCATTTCCTGATTGTAGCTCAGTGTTTCCTTTGTGTTTGTTTGTTAATGATGAGATAAAGTAAATATTGGAATCTGGTTTGTACTTTTTCTGGATATACATATAGTGACTTTATAGACAGTTGATTCTACCTATATCCCTTTTTATAGAATCCTGGAAGCCTGCTGATACTGAAGGCAAGAAGCAGTATGATAGGGAGTTTTTGTTGGACATTCAGTTCATGCCAGCCTGTATACAGAAACCAGAGGGCCTGCCTCCCATCAGTGATGTGGTTCTGGACAAGGTAAGCTGAGTACTCAGAGACTATCTCTTTGATATCTCTTATCAGTGGGAACTGGTTTTTATTATCAGTACAAATATGTGAAGTATGAGCAATATTTAGGAATTGTAAGACCAAATATTATTTGAATTAAAATATATGTTTAAGAATTAGAGTTTTCCTAAACATTGTTGGATTTTGGATTTCTTATACTATAATAATATTGGGGTTTGACCCATGTTTGTTGAAGTTTTAAAACTTATTTTTCTGCTTATTATGGCTATTTTTTAGTGATGTGGTGAAAATTGTTAGTTGGGCTAATTTAGCTGAAGTGATAGAGACCTCTTTCCTTATTGTTCTATAATTTCTATATGGAATTATAATGGCATTGAGGACAGGTCAGAAACCTAGGAACACAGATCAAATTTAAATAGGAGTCAACATAATTCAAATAATGTATATGTCAAAATCCCCCCCATAGATTCTTATAGTGATTAGTCTTTAATCCTGTGCAGATAAATAGTCATCCTTTATCTTCACATCTGATTTTAATGGTACATTCAGAAAATTAGTACAGTCAATGTTTATTTTGTCTGTTTATTAAATTAAAAGGAGTAAAGGCAGATGTTTATCTGCCAGGTATGTTTTTAAATCAGTGATGAACTAGTGCTGGTGATGAAGCTTGAAGTTTTTTTGTTTTGAAGAGAAACTATTAATCCCTAATCAAAGTAGAGGGTAAATATCTTATAGAATGAACTTCCTCTCTTATTAAGTTACTGTTTATCCAGACCTTATTCGTATTACTTTATTCTTTTATGGCAGCAGGTCTTATTTCTGTTGCTAAGTCTTTTCTTTATGTGCTTATCTGAGGACAGTTGAATGATTGGCAGGGCTAATTCAAGGCCGCTTCAGTGCTTCAGAGGGCACTCGCTATGTCCACTGAGTTAGGTTATTCTCTCAGAAAATATTCCTTCCTGGCTTCCTACTTTAACTGTTTCTGACTCTGGCCAATCATTAGTTGATTTCTTGCTGAGCTATGTAGCTTTGCTCAGTCTATAGTCATATTCTAGGCCTATACAAAGCCAGGTAACTTGGATTACAAAACAGACAAAATGAGATTTTAAATGAGTTACCACACATGAAACATAATCTCCTTTTTATTATTTTTATTTATTGTTATTATTATTTTTAATCCTCATCCAATGGTATTTTTACATTTATCATCAGATAGAGTGGGAAGGAGGGAGAGAGAGAAAGAGAGAGAGGTAGAGAGAGAAACATCGATGTAAGAGAGACACATCTACTGGTTGCCTCCCGCATGACCCAATCAGGGCTGGGGATGAACCACAACCGAGGTACGCGCCCTTGACCTGAATTGAACCCACAACTGATTGGTCCGTGGGCCGATGCTCTAACTCCTGAGCCAGACTGGCCAAGGCCACAATCTCCTTTTTTAAAAAAAAAAATATGTTTTAGGAGGCTATCTGGGGGGAAAAGGAGAAACATCTGTAACAAAAAATAAATTAATTAATAAATAGCCCTGGCCAGTTTGGCTCAGCGGTTAGAGCGTTGGCCTGCGGTCCGGAGAGACCCGGGTTCGGTTCCCGCTAAGGGCACGTACTTCGGTTGCAGTTTGTCCCCGGCCCTGGTTGGTCGTGCGGGTGGCAGCCACTCGATGTGTCCCTTCACGTCGATGTTTCTCTCTCTCTCTCTCCCTCCCACTCTATCTGTACAAAAAATGGAAAAATATCCTCGGGTGAGGATGGAAACCCCCCCCCCAAAAAAAAATTAATAAATAATGATAATAAAATAAAAATTAATAAAACATGTTTTTCCCGGCTGGTGTGGCTCAGTGGTTGAGTGTCGACCCATGCACAAAGAGATCGCCGGTTAGATTCCCAGTCAGGGTACATGCCCAAGTTGTGGGCCAAATCTTCAATGTGGGGCATGCAAGAGGTGGCCAATCAGTGCTCTCTCTCATTGATGTTTCATCTCTCTCCCCTTTCCCTTCCTCTCTAAAATCAAGAAAGAAAGAAAAAATTAAAATTAAAAAAAAATTAACTATCCTCTTCCAAAAAAAAAAAATATATATATATATATATGTGTGTGTGTGTATATATATATACACACATATGTTTTTATTGATTTTTTAGAGAGAGCAAAAAACATCGATAAGAAACATCAATCAGCTGCCTCCTGGTCGCCCCCTACTGGGGATCAAGCCTGAAACCCGGGCATGTTCCCTGACCTGGAATCGAACCAGGACCTCCCAGTTCGTGGGATGACACTCAATCCAGTGAGCCATACTGGCCAGGAATCCTTTTGAAACTCATTGTCCACTCAGACTACTTGCTGTTCTAATCATAAGTCAACAGCATTGAAACCAAAATGAGCAATAGCCAGATTTTCATAAGCAGGTGCTCTGATGTCCTGGTGAATATGCTGGATGAAAATCCTAAAATTTGACTCTATTTTATAGAATCTCAAAATAGTTTGTCTTGTGGTCCTTCTACTGGTCTTGTATAGTTCACTGATTATGTCTAGTCTCTTATTTGGATTATTAGGCCAGTTCAGTCCCACAGCATCAGAAAACCACTGTTGACCTAAGGGCACTAAGGCTAGCCCAAAAGAAGCTACTACTAGCACAGGTTCAGATTGGACTTTCATTGGTTCAGGATGCTAGTGGTTACCATTTCATCTGATACAACTCCTCAGTCTAAGTTGTTATCTGTGTGGTACCAGATGTGTTAAGCTTTCCTTTGCTTTATACAGATCAACCAACCCAAATTGCCAATGCGAACTTTGGATCCTCGGATTTTGCCTCGAGGACCAGATTTTACTCCAGCCTTTGCAGATTTTGGAAGGCAAAGCCCTGGTGGAAGAGGTGTACCTGTAAGTGCAAGTTCCTTACAACCCAATTAGAAACTGTGATAGACTTCATGATATCTTGTCTAAAGGCAAGAGAGTGGCTTTTATTCATTGATTCCTTTAAACAGGAAGAAGAGTAGAAGAGGTGAGGACTATTCTTTCCAAACTAATATTTAAGTAAATAAAATGAATACACTTAAGTCATTTTTAATTGAAAGAAGCCGGTCCACCTACAAATGGGTTAAAAAATAGGACCAACCTTGAGTATGATTCCTGTTTTGTTTTGAGGTGTCCTGATATAGTAGAGATCTCTGATGACTTCCAGCTAATGGTCATCTCTTTGTCCTTGTTTCTACAGATTTGCAAAGTGCAGAGCAGGCATGGATTGCCAATTCTGGAACAGAGCAAAGCCCCAACTTGCACTCCACTGGCGATGTTGCACCCACCCCTGAAGAGCCTGCCTCTAGGGGTGCGCTGAATCCTTTTTTTTTTAACAATAGTTTATGGTGTTATAAAATTTTATGTTTTGCTTTTTTTCCTTACTATAGCTTGTGAAGTGAAAATATGAACAAACGACACATACAAAAGAGTGCAGTGTTAGTAAACTGCAGATTGCTTTACACCCCCGAGTGGCAGGCTCTTCAGCGGTGGAAGTGGCATCACCAATGGAGTTATGCTGGGGCAATGCCCTGTGCAGGGTTTGGCAGGCTCGGCCTACTCCATGCTTTGTAGACTTGCAGAAAGCATGGGGGAAAGTTGCCAATGATGTGAATGCCTCTTTTTCCCAAGTTGGAGTGGCTCGAGGGCACTGAAAGTTCTGGAGGAGCTCAGGGTTCGATGTACATTTGCAGATCACCCTATTTTAAGACTTTTATATTTGTAAAAATATTTTGATGTGAGGTGACCCTTATTATTTTCCCAACACCTTTTTATTTCTGTAATGGCAACTTTTGAAACTTACTTGGAAATAAGACTACACCGCCTGAAAACAAATGTCACTTTGTAGGAATTTCACTTATTTGATTGCCAGCAGCCCGATTGAAGATATTTAAATGCATATACATCTTAAAGACGTCTTTGTGTATAATATTCTTTTCTCATACAGGTTTTAAATTTAACTTTATTTTCTCGAAATGCTAAGATAAAATTTTTATAGAATTTGAATTACCTCACCAGAAAGTCTTAGAGAGTAGCTCTTATACTTTTTTTTTTCAGCATTATTTTCCTTTTTTGGTGGTTTAAATTTATATTTCTGTCAGCATTTGTTTGTTTTAGTTTTGATTTATATCTCTGTTTGCCAAACATTTGAAATAATGTTGGTGCCATTTTGATTAATCTTTAGTTAATAGCATCTGTGGTTATCATGTTGGCTCAATTTTGTCATATGTTACTTGCACAAGGTATGAATTTCTACATCTCCTCTTCCAGTGTATGTTTTCACTTTTCATTACCAGGTTGCTATTGTCTGCTAATTAGGTAGACCAAAAAGGGAATATAGTGAATTAAGAATAAGCAGTATCTCTTTTAAAATATTGAAATTAGAAAGTAAATTTTAAAAGTAACTGTCACAATATATGTTTGCCCACTAATCTATGTGCTTACATATATCAGATATAAATGAGTTATTTGGTACATGCAAAGTAATATGACTGGAAATGAGCCATTGTCAAGAATTTGTATGGTCTCATAAAAGGTCAGCTTTACTTGTTTAATTCACTTTCTTTAAATAACTCTGTCATGTTGCCACAGCTAATTTTAAAGTGAAATTGTGATCTATTGCTTTAATGCAAGTAATTATTCTTTCACATCTCCCATAACTAACATATATTCTTCATTTAATTTGTCCAGTTTACTTTGGTATATTGGTGTAGGTACAATGGGAATTTCATAGGATGTTATATCTAACATAGTTAGGAATAATCAGTAATGCTGTTTGGAAAAAAGCAGCAGCCCTACTCTTCATAGTTCATGATTATATACCTTTAGTCACTTTTGCCAGCTTCCAAATTGGCTTGTAAATAATTACCAACCTAGAATGTTAATATTTGGTAGGTATTCTTCATAATATGGCTTAAATACCCACAACTCCTGGTATAAACTTTCCTGCGACAGATTGTTACCAAATATTTTTATTGCATAGCAGTTGTTTTAATATGTCATATGATGTTATATAAAATTTTCAAACATAAAGGTCTTTTGATGGACAGTAAAGTGCATAGCAATTGAAAGCACCCAGATAGTATCATCTCTGTAGCTTTTTAAAAATCAAATTACTTGGCAGTTGTAGTATTTCAATAGTAATCTGTTGGCAGACATCACAGAGAGTACCTCAAAAGAAATGTATTGAGCTAGGGTCTGTGAACATAGATTAGTAACTTGCTATTCATATTCATTTCAACTAACTTTGAGATTAGTTTAGCTATTATAAAACTTCTAGGGGCAAAGTTTTCCTGAGCTCATACCATGCTTTCCTTTCTCCTTGAAGGAACACTTAGTTATCTTGCTTTAAAAATTGCTAGTATGTATATTGGTCTTACTTTCTTTAGTTATTTAGGTAAGCAGAGATAGGAATAATATATATTAAATTCTAAAACAGAGATGGATATAATTTCTTATTTAATATATTTGAGAAAAATATATGAGAGTGGGTAAAAAATGTGAACTTCCTTCTCACCTGGGAAAAAAAATTGTGACTTACTAGTTAATGAACCCCAAATTTTGACTCTTCATTTTAGTTCTGTCATTTGTGGACCCTGAGCACATTATACTATGAAGTTCCTTTTCTAGCCATCAATGAAGATTGTCTCTCATTCAGTCCAGGAGACCAGGCTTTCTTTCTTTTTGTACATTTCATAACTCTTAATACTGGATCGTAGATTTTGTTTGCATTTCATAAATAAGCCATTCATTATATACAGTGCAACTTTTGAAGGATACTATGAATTTGACATTTTGCATTAAATTTTTCACACACAAAAAAAGGACACAAAATGTTTAAAGGTAATTACATCAATCTACATATCACTTTTTTAAAAGTTCCTTTTGTGCCCTGGCTGGTTTGGCTTCCACAGTTAGAGCATTGGCCCGTGGACCAAAGAGTATCAGGTTCAAGTCCAGTCAAGGCCACATACCTAGGTTGTGGTTCGATCCCTGGTCCTACTCAGGGTCATTTGGGAGGCAACCAGCTGATGTTCTCTCTCACATTGATGTTTCTCTCTCTCTCTTTCTCCCTCCCTCTGTCCCACTCTATCTGAAAATGAATGGAAAAATATCCTCAGGTGAGGATTTAAAAAAAAAAGTTTCATTTGTTCTTTGGTATTGATGGTGATACCTTACTTAATTTTAAAAGTGCTTTTATGTGCCTTATATTTTACATTGCATGGTTCTCATAACTTCTGTAGGTAAGACAAGCATTTAATATATGAGAACACTTAAGTTCAACAAAGTTAAGAGATTTGTTCACAGTAACTTAACTCATAATTAGAAGAATTGGACTCAAGAGTCCACAGTTCTTTTGGATTCTAATTTGCCACTTTTCTCCACCGCACCAGTCCTTGTAGACATTGATGTTCTAGACTGAATTCATTTCCAGAGTGTAAACATGAGAATATTAGGGATTAATTAATTAAGCATTTATAAATATACTAAATCTATTGAAGAACTCAGTATATTTGGATGAATATTTTTGAACAGTATCTTAATTATATCCAGAGATACAAATATAATTTTAAAATTTGTCTTGGGCACTTGCACATGGGTTATAATTTGAACTTTCTGTTCTTGACTAACAACTTATATTTATTATCTTTCAAAACTTTTTATTCATTTGAAACATTGTTGTTCTTTATTTAATAATATGGCTCACATCTCCGTGCTGTTTCTTTGAAATTCACATTTGTGTCTTGAGGCAGGTAAAGAGATGTGGTATAAATTACTTTCCAGATTCAAATCCTAAGGCATATTCATTGATATTTGCAGTATTTTTGGAAATGGACATTTTCTGACTTTATCTAAACATAATTAAAATTATATCTCTAAATTATGCATACTTTGGCTCTTACATGATTTTGATATAATAACCTTTCATTACACCCAACAACCTTTGTCCTAAAAAAATTTATTAGTAAATATGTGGATTAAGTTAAATGTCTTGTGATGTAATGGTATATTTGAACTTTATCCAAGCATTGAAAAAAGAGATTAACCCTAGTGAATTTGCAGTAGAATATATCCTGAATTATAAAAACTATACAATACTTGGTTTATGGCATTTTCTTAACAGAATTGTTTTGTCTGGGGTATCATATCAATATTTCCGTTATAGGTAATTGTTCTTATAGTGGTACTATCTCATTTAGCAGCTGTTTCTGGTCTGATGATCCTCTTTTATACCATACTGTTACCTCTGGGCTTATCTGACCTTCATTCTTTTCATGTTTACCAAATAGTCTGAGATCATATCATCAGTACTGAGTTCTTGGCTGGATATATTTGCCAAATTGGTGTGTATTGACTAGAAATTCTGACTTTTTTTTTTTTAATCCTCATCCGAGGACATTTTTCCATTTTTTGTACAGACAGAGTGGGAGGGAGAGAGAGGAAGAGAGAGAGAGGGAAACATCGATGCGAAAGGGACACATCGAGTGGCCGCCACCCGCACGACCAACCAGGGCCGGTGACAAACCGCAACCGAGGTACATGCCCTTAGCGGGAACCGAACCCGGGTCCCTCCGGACCGCAGGCCGACGCTCTAACCGCTGAGCCAAACCGGCCAGGGCGAAATTCTGACTTTTGATCCTGATACATTCTTGATACTGCCATTTCTAATTAGGGCAGATGGTGAAATATAAGAGAATAATTCTGAGAATGAGTCATAAATAAAGGCTTTTAAGCTTCTCAGCTTAGGCCTCAGACCATGCCTCTCTTAGAACCTGTCTTTTTATATAAAGCAAGGGTGGAGAACGTCTGGCCTGCAGACCTATAAGGCCTGTGAAATCAATACCAGCTAACATCACATGCCTCACCAAATTAGCCTGACCAAATATAGTAAGCTAATTTTTAAGTTGATAATTTTATATGATACTCGAATGATGTTATAAATATCCAAATGGCCCTTGGCAGAAAAAAAGTTCCCCACTCGATATAAAGCATGATATTGAAGTTTCTACTTCCTTTCCAGAAACTTTATATGAATTCAAAAGGGTAGTATTGGGGTACTAAGTGAGGTATGATTCTAGTCGACGTGTGTTCTGTGAAGCTTTTTTCTTTTCTCTTAAATGTAATGGCAGTTTTTACTCAGCATTTAGAGAATGCTATATCAGAAAACGTAAAGGCTCTCATACAACATATCTGGGAGGAGCAGAACTTACTATCAACCCAAATATTTAATCTTGCAAAATTATTTTCAAGCATTTGATATAGCAACCGTTGTGACTATTTTAATACAGAGAATGCAACTTTTAACCTCCCTCATTATCTTGCAGTAATATTTTTTAATATGACGACCAGTGTGACATGCCAGCATATACTGGTTTTAACAGAATGAGTACAGTGGGACTCTAGCAGGAACAAAGAACTTACAAAAAGAGGAAAACATTTTTTTCTGGGAGCAATTTAGTTTGAAATCATTAATGATGTAAGAAAGACTTATTTTAGTAATTCTCGCCCAGCAAATTTAGAGGAATCCATTAAGATCTGCAGTGAAGTTGGGTGTCTGTGCTGGAGAGAATTTTTGTGATAAGGTTGTATTTGCATTTCACACTGGAAGTTTAGAAACCCAGTTTTTGAAGTAGATTTGTGATTGATTATTACTACATGTGAATTTTTGTAGTTATGCAAAGTGACCCGTTTAAAGTCCAACTAGTAAAAAAAAAAAAATAGAGCTTCATTTAAGGGTAGTCTTTATTTGTGAACAACAATACCTTTATCAAATGTAATTTTCTGTCACTTTATTTCATTTAGGACTTAGGGTCTAAAATTATAGCAGTGGAGAACATTGCATTGATGATGTTCTAAATCCTCCTTCCTACCACCCTCCCAAAAAAGATCGCATCTAAATTGAGTGCCTAATACTCACCTTTGCATCCAGAAGTGTTTGGTGTGATCATCAGGCTTGACTTGAGCAGCAGAGCAGAGACAGAAAATTGTAAGGACTCTCTATAGATACAATAAAGAATATTCTTGTTCTAGTTGTTGAATATTGGACCACGGAGATCTCAACCTGGCCAGAGAAGAGAACCCAGGAAGATCATAACAGTCTCTGTGAAAGAAGACGTTCACCTGAAAAAGGCAGAAAATGCCTGGAAGCCCAGTCAAAAACGAGACAGCCAAGCTGAGGATCCTGAAAACATTAAAACCCAGGTGAGAACAGAGGCACGTTCTACCGTTGTTTTGGAATTATAATGATACTGTTTCAGCTTGTGATATTGTCCTATTAATATATTTAGAGATCTTAGTTGAAGATTTTTTTGTTATTTTTTTCTGTTATATGGTAAACATTATTCTAAAAGCCATCTTGAATACCAGACAACCTGTTTTCTCTGAAATTGCTTTGTGTATGCTTTTCAAAATAGACACTATGTCTCAGGAGTTCATAAATCATCGAATTCTATCATTTAGGCTTAGATCCATATTTGTTTTTATTAAAAGTGTGTTTAGCCCTGGCCGGTTTGGCTCAGCGGTTAGAGCATCGGCCTGCAGTCCAGAGAGACCCGGGCTCGGTTCCTGCTAAGGGCATGTACCTCAGTTGCAGTTTGTCCCCGGCCCTGGTTGGGTCATGCGGTGGCAGCCACTCGATGTGTCCCTTTCATGTCGGTGTTTCCCTCTCTTTCTCTCTCTCCCTCCTGTTCTGTCTTAACAACAACAACAACAACAACAACAACAAAGTGTGTTTAGATTCTCAGTGTTTATCCTATACTAGTCTAGTTAATATATTGCTTTATCTCTCCTTGTGAGGCCTTCATTTCTAGTAAGTTAAAATTAAGAAACCCATCTTGTTTTAGAGTCTTGGAAAAAATTGAATTCTTTGTATTTTTTTGTGCATATCTTGCCTTTAGATTTCCTTGGGGGTAAACTGAAAAGTTCCTTTAATCCACACAAAATTTTGTGTGTGTAAATAATGTAAAGCGTGATTTGTCTTTTGCTGTACTCACAATGCCAGCTCCTGTTCCTGGGTTACCTCTGCTGTTTTCTTTGGATGTTCTTGCTTGTAGGTACCAAAACTAGAGTTGTCTTGCACTTCGCACCTGTACCAGAGCCAGGCATCAGATAGCCAACTTTTCATTGTCTGATTTCTTATAAATCTTTCCTCTCATCAGCATCAGTTTATTATAGCAGTCGAAAGCTCCAGCTCTGGAGACAGAGGCCAATTCTGTTAGGCAGGTCTTAATCTCAACTGTAAAATGAAAATAGTAATATTATAGGACCATTGTGAAGATGAAATAAAGTAATATAAAGCACTTGGGATAGTTCCTGGAGCCCAGCTAGGTAGGTACTCAGCATGATGATGTTCCTGGATTAGAGATGTGCCTTATAAATCTTGATTTTTGATTCAACACCAACAGAGAATCTCATACATAGTAGATATTCAGTAAATATTTGTTAAATAAACTAATGAACAAAGTTGTTCAGTGAAAGTCAGGACTAAGATGAACTGATTCATCACAAAGCCATGCTGTCAATCCCATTTGGCTGCTTGCTTTTGTTCATCTTTCTGTTGATTGCCCCAGACATTTGTCCCTATAAATACATCTTTTTCCAGATTCACTGACGTCAAGTAAGTACTTAATCTTCCCTCCATTTCTTCTCAATGTTTTTTTGTTTGTTTGTTTTTTAAACCTTCTACATCCCTCCCTCCAGTTCCCCTGTGAAATGCTTAATGATAAGGGGCCTAAATGGCTTACAAAAGATAGGTAAACTTCCTGCTGGATCTTTATTATTAAAGATGTCTTGATGTCTTGTTTTAGTATTTAAGGTACTTATGTTAATGCCTTACTTCATTAGATTCTTCAAATTTATGAAGGAGGAAATAGATACTGTCTCTATTTTTCAAATGAAGAAAAATGAAGCTTTGAGAGATTAAGTTACCCACATTGTTGTCGTTGCTGAATAGTTCCTTTGCTGTGACTTATAATCTACATCCCTTTACTCCGTTAACAGAGTTATCCCCATTATTGATTAATTTTTATTTCAGAAATATCAGAATATTTATATTGACTGTTAATGTATCATTAATTAGTTTTCTTCAATGGAGAATAATTAGACTTCTTTTTTAGGGCCAATACAACTTTATTTTTCTTGACACATTTTCTTGTAAAGAAGGAGCATCTTTGCTTCATTCTCTCTCATTTGTGGGGTGGTTTTTTCCTTTATTGTTGAAAGTATTACAAATGTCCCTCCTTTTTTCCCCCATTGATGCCCCCCGCCCTTGCTCCTGCCCCCCTTTCCCTGGTGCCTTCACCACACTATTGTCTCTATCCATGGATTATGCATATATGCATGTAAATTCTTTGGTGAATCTCTTCCCACTCCCCCACTACCCCTTTACTCTGAGATTCCTCAGTCTGTTTTATGCTTCCATGTCTCTGGATCTATTTTGTTCATCACTTTATTTTGTTATTAGATTCCACATATAAATGAGATCATGTGATACTTTTGTCTTTCTCTGACTGGCCTGTTTCACTTAGCATAATACTCTCCAGGTCCCTCCATGCTATCTCAAAGGGCAAGAGATCCTTTTTTACAGCGGCTTAGTATTCCAGTGTAAATGTGCCATAGCTTTTTTTATCTGCTCATCCACTGATGGGTAATTGGGCCGTTTCCAGATCTTAACTATTATAAATAACACTGCTATGAACATAGAGGTGCATCTATTCTTTCTGATTGGTGGTTTAGGATTCTTAGGATATATTCCTAGAAGTGGGATCACTGGGTCTTTTGTGGAATTTTTGTTCTTCTCTGCATATGTATACACTGTGTTGAACTGATGCTCCTGCTAATTGTTATTCTGTGTCGCTCCTTTTTGTTAAATTGGTGGTTTTATTGTTGAGAAAAACTCTCTGTTGTTTGAGAAAACTCTCAGTCTGACTTTCATTCCTACCACTGTAGTTAACAACTTTATGAATGACCACCAGTGATCTTATTCTTCCTATGTCATAAGACTTCATCTTCTCCTTGAAGCAGTTCTAGTAAATCATCGCCTCATCATGTGTCTAAAACCCATACCATATACACTGCTGTGGTGGTTCCATTGCTGGGGTCTCCTGCTTCATCTTCTTCTGAAGGACTGATTTTTATCTCTCCACCTATCATTTAATACCTCATTTTCTCTCCTAACTTGTGCACACTAGTCCTCTGATCCTTCTTTGCTGTTTCCTATTACCAAAATAGAAAATTTTTAGTAACAATTTCTTCCTAAGATGTTTGTCCTTTCTAAAATGTGTTCTCCCCATTTCTTTCACTTGTCAGCTTTTTTTTTTTTTTTGGTTCTTAATACAGCCCAATCCTCATGTTCTTCTAAAGCAGTGGTTCTCAACCTTCCTAATGCCGTGACCTTTTAATATAGTTCCTCATGTTGTGGTGATCCCCGACCATAAAATTATTTTCGTTGCTACTTCATAACTGTAATTTTACTACTGTATTTCTTAGGCGACCCCTGTGAAAGGGTCGTTTGACTCCCAAAGGGGTCGCGACCCACAGGTTGAGAACCGCTGTAAAGGCATTTCCTGACTAACCCATTACCTCCTGTACCTAAACTCTTCCCTTCTCTGGCTCCTGATCTACCTCATGCGTGCTCTGTCACTTCACTGTGACTGCCTGTCTCTGCAGCTAAATTTCCATGGTCTGGAAGGCAGTAACTGTGCCTTAGGCTTTATTTGTGCCTGGTACAGAATTCGTTGTAGACGTTCAGTTATGGTGAATAAATGATTTCAGTAAATTTGTTGTTCTTGTTTGATGCTGCAGATTTTTTTAATGAAGTATAATTGACATATAACATACTACTTTCAGGTTTACATTGTCATGATTTGACATTTATATATATTGCAAAATGATCACAATTATTCTGGTTAATATTCATCATCATACATAATTAAATTTTTTTTCTTGTGATGAGAATTTTAAAGATCTACTTTCTTAGCAACTTTCATATATACTGTATATTACTTCAATAAATTACCTTTATAGCCCAGCTGGTGTTGGTCAGTGGATTGTGCATCAACTCATGGACTGAGAGGTCCCAGTTCGATTCCTGGTCAGGGCACATGCTCAGGTTGCAGGCTTGATCCCCGGTGCGGGGCACACAGGAGGCAGTTGATTGATGTTTCTCTCTCACTTCGATGTTTCTCTCCCTTCCTCTGTCTCTAAAATATAAAATTAAAAAAATATATATCTCCTCATTATCCTATTTTTCTAAACTTAAGTTATCTTCTGAAATATTTGAAACTGCCCTGGCCAGTTTGGCTCAGCAGTTAGAGCGTCAGCCTGTGGTCCAGAGAGGCCTTGGTTCAATTCCTGCCAAGGGCACATACCTGGGTTGCAATCTGTCCCCGGCTCTGGTTGGGCCTTGTGGGTGGCAGCCACTCGATGTGTCCCTTTCACATTGATGTTTCTCCCTCCCTCCCTCCCCCCCCCTCTGTCTGAACAAAAAATGGAAAAATTTCCTCGGGTGAGGATGATAAAAAAGAAATACTTGAAACTATTTGAAGGTTGATGTTTCTTATTCTTCATGTAAAACACAGTTTACAGTTTTAGACCTAAACAACACTATCTCAGTTGATACAGGCAAAATTAGAGAGGTACAGTGACTCCCCAGTCCCTAATAAACTTATTTTTTTCTTTACAAAAAAGAATACTGACTCACTGATGAAAAACTTGACAGTATAATTTTTTTTTTTTAATTCTCACCTGAGAGTATTTTTCCATTAGTTTTTAGATAGAGTGGAAGGGAGGGAGGAAGAGAGAGAGAGAGAAATATTGATGCAAGAGAGGAGAGAAGCATTGATTGATTGCCTCCCGCATGACCCCAACCAGGGCCAGTGATCAAACCTGCAACCCAGGTATGTGCCCTTGACTGGGAAGTAAACCCGGATCCTTTGGTTCATAAGCTGATGCTCCAACCACTGAGCCAAACTGGCCAGGGCAATTTTTTAAATTTAAATTTATTTATTTACTATCTCTTATCTAGAGAAAAGTGTTAGCATATTGGCACATATCTAAAAATTCTTCTATATAAAAATAACGTGTAAAGGGATCAAACAAAACATTTTTGCAGGCATTTTTGGCCACTATATCATGGTTTCATGAATTTTTGCAACTTAATATTTTTACTGGGACATAATTTACATTTAGTAAAATTTACTTTTTGTGTATAACTGTATAATTGTGGATAGACATCCAAAGTCAGGTAACTACCAACACAATCAAGAGAGATACAGAACAGTCCCATTAGCCACCCGAAGTTTCCTTGTACCACTTTGTATTCATCCTCTCCCCTCATGCCCACCTGTGTTAATCACTGATCTGTTTGTCCTTATAGTATTGCTTTTTTCAGAATATCATATAATTGGAATCATTTTGAATATAGCCTCTTTCACTTAGCTTATGCATTTGAGATTTATTCATAATAGATTTATTCACATGTGTGATTAATTCCTTCTTTCTTTATTAATGAGTAGTATTTAATTATTTACAGGATAAAGAGTTTCCAGGTTTTGGCAATTATGAATAAAACTGCTATAAACATTCATGTAGAGTAGTTATGTGAACATAAGTTTTTGTTACTTTTGGGGTAAATTCCTAGCTATGGAATTGGTGAGTTGTATGGTGTATATAAGTTTAACATTATCAGAAAATGCCAAACTGCTTTCCAGGATAGTTATTGTACCACTTTGCATTTCCATGGACAAGGCACGAGAATTTTAATTATTCCACATCTTTGTCAGCACTTGCTATTTTCTGCTTTATAAATTTTAGCCATTCTAATGGATGTGTGATAGTATCTCATTGTAGTTTTAATTCTACTTTCTCAGACAATGAGTATGTTACAGAAGCTCATATTTTTATATGCTTATTTGCCATTCATGTATCTTCTTTGGTAAATTTCTGTTTATATCTTTTGCCCTGTTTTATTGAGTGGTGTGTTTTTTTAATTGTTGAGTGTTGAGAATTCTTTATATATTTTGGATACAAATCCTTTATCAAATGTGTATTTTGCAAACATTTTCTCCCAGTCTGTGGTTTATATTTTCATTCTCTTAATATAGTGTCTTATGCAGAGTAGAAATTTTTAATTTTGATGATGATCAATTTATCAGTTGTTTCATTCATAGATTATGCTTTACAATCATATCTTTAAAAATCTTTGCATAACCGAAGAATACAAAGCTTTTCTCCTATGTTGCCTTCTAGAAGTTTGTAGATTTAGGTTTTACATTTTGGTTTGTGATCTAGTTTTAGTTAATTTTTGTATTATGTGCAAGGTATAGATAAAAGTTTTGGGTTTTTTTCTCCTTTTCTTATGGATTTCTAGTTGTTTCAGCACCATTTGTTGAAAAGACTATTCGTTCTCCATTGAATTTTCTTTGCAACTTTGTTGAAAATTAGTTCATCATATGTGTATGAATCTATTTCTAGACTTTTTATTCTGTTCCAGTGATCTTTGTGTCTACCCTCTGGCTAGTACCACACTGTCTTTCTATAGTAGCTTTATATACTAAGTGTAGAAATCAGGTTGTATGAGGCCTCCAACTTTGTATTTTTCCTAATTGTTTAGGCTATTCTAGTTATTTTGTCTTTCCATATAAATTATAGAATCAACTTCTTGATTTCTGCTAAAAAAAAAACAAAAAAACAAAAACATAACTCTACTAGGTGTTTTATTTTGATTGTGTTAAATCTATAGGTCATTTTGGAGAAAACTGACTACAATAATGAATCTTCTAATATACATGAACATGATATAGATCTCCAATTACTTGGGTCCTCCTTGGTTTTTTTCATCAGCAATTTCTAGTTTTCATCATACAGTTTCTATGGATATTTTGTACCATTCTTAGTTAAGTATTTAATGGTATTTGATGCTATTGTAAATAGTGCTTTTTTAAAATGTAATTTCTAGTTGTTTTGCTAATATATAGAAATATAATATTTTTATATTGACTTGTATTCTATAACCTTCCTACACTCATTAATCCTAGTATCTCTTTTTGTAGATTCTTTATGATTATCTATGGAGACAATCATATCTACTATGAAGAGAGAGTTTTATTTCTTTCTTTGCGCTCTGTATGGGTTGTAGTTCTTTTTCTTTTCTTTATTGCACTGACTGGGACTTCCAGTGTGATTTTGAATAGAAATGATGAGAACAGACATTTTTGCCTAATTCTCAGTATCAGCGGGAAAGCATTCATTTTGTCACCATGGAGTAAGGTTGTAGCTGTCCTTTTTCTAATTGAAAAGTTCTCTTCTATTTCTAATTTGAGAAATTAGAGAGTTTCTATGACATCATTTTAAGAGCTCACTTCGTATTCTATACAGTAATTTATATTATACCATAATTTAGACAAATTCCTATATTAGGACATTTTTTATTTATTATAAAGGGTTATGGAAAAGTTATTTTGGCTAAAATTTTTTAACCTATTTTTAAGTGTGAATAGATATCTAAAACTATAATTACTAGTTCAAAAGGGCATATCACAGTTTTAAAGCTTTTATTACACATTGCAGAATTGTCCTTAGAAATGTACCAGATGATACTCCTACCAGTGATGTGTGAATATACCTAGTTCCTTGAATTCTCATCAGTAGTGAAAATGATGCGCTATAATTTTTTACTATTTTATTAAAATAGATTTATTTAATTATTTTTATGATGTATGCACAATCCTTGTCAATAATTTGGGAAGTTGAACTTATATATTATAAACAAAATATTGATTGTTACAGAAAACTTTATATTGTCCCAGTTACTATAATGTTCTTTTTTGTATGTGACCCTTCTAGGAACTTTTTAGAAAAGTTCGAAGTATCTTAAATAAATTGACACCACAGATGTTCAACCAGCTGATGAAGCAAGTGTCAGGACTTACTGTTGACACAGAGGAGCGGCTGAAAGGAGTCATTGACCTGGTCTTTGAGAAGGCTATTGATGAACCCAGTTTCTCTGTGGCTTACGCAAACATGTGTCGATGTCTAGTAACGGTAAGAAGAGAGGAAGGAGTAAAACCAGAAATCTTCAAGAGGTATATTCTCCCCTCACTGCACATTCTTCCCAGAAGTGTTGTTGGGCAACGTAAAGGGGAGAATATATTTTTAGCACTTATTAATATAATATCCTATTGTATAAAAAGAGTCTTTAATAAAATGTATACTTACCTCTGGAGGGGTTATGGAGACTAGACTGCATTAGACACATGGTCCCATACAATATAAGGAAGATTGAATATGGTTTAAATTAGTAATTGAAATTTTTGTTATGGGCAAGCAATATTTCCTGGGGTGTCATTGTGCAGAAATAAAACAAATGCTTTCATTCATATTTATTTAAATTGAAAAACATGTTGTTTCTAAGTCTAGCCTCAGTGCAAATGATAGGATAGTTGTCATAAATGCTTCAAAACTGATAATTTCATCTCTTAGAAACTATTAGATTTCTTTCTCTTTACATTGTTCACAGCCATTTAATCTTCACAGCCTGTCAAATCTAGGGCAAGACAAAATGGGAGACCAAAGAGCTTCTGGTTAGTGTTCATTGTCCTCAATTCTGCAGTCATAAAACTGCCATGTACCGTCTGTGTTTTCTCTGTTACCAAGGTACTTGTGTCAGAAATGTTTGTCCTTTAACATTTGAGTTTTTTCTTAATTATCACAACTCATTGTCATCATGCCTTGCTGTGTAAGTGCAAAATTTTATCATTCCACCAATATTTTTGAGTACCTTGTGTCAAAGGTAGGTAAGTCTGTTGGTACTTTGAAGTTACATCTTCTGCCTTTAAAAACTCAAAGTCCATATTAAAAAACAAACAAACAAATAAAAACAGCATTAAGAAGTTAAAAAACCACTTACAAGGTTTGCTGTGATATTGCTATATGTTAATGCCTAAATGGATGATTTAGACCAGCAATTTTCAACCTTTTTACATCGTGGCACACATAAACTAATTACTAAAATTCTGTGGCTCAACAAAAAACTTATAGTTTTGCCACTCTGACAAAAAATAGGTAGAATTTTGATTCATTCACACTGGATGGCTATTGTTGTGTTGGCTCTTCTCATTGTTTTATTTGTCAATCTAAGGGAAAATAGGTCAATGCCCCTCACTAAATACTCAGGTATTGCATGTTTTAAAAATTCTCATTGCACACTGGTTGAAAATTGCTGCTTTAGACTGAAAAATAAAGTTGGAGGAAAAAGAAATCACTATGTACGTGGGAAAGTGACAAATTTCTATGAAGCAAGTAGAGCTTGAGATGGGCCTGGGAGGGTAGGAAGTTCAAGTATAGAGAAAGAATAGCATATTCCGGGCCGATTCAAGTCTGAGACAGCATGTGTGACAGAATGGTTACAAGCACTGGTTTTGGAGTTTCACGGTTCTAGGTTTAAATTTTTGTTGTTGTTAATCCGTACTTGAGGATCTTTTTCCACTGATTTTTTGAGAGAGTGGAAAGGAGAGAGAGGGAGAGAAACATTGCCATGAGAGAAAGACATCAACTGGTTGCCTCCTACACAACCCTAACTGGGACAGGGGAATCGAACCTGCAACCCAGGTGCATGCCCTTGAGCAGAATCAAACCCGAGACCCTTCAGTCCGCAGGTCAACACCTTTAACCCCTGAGCCAGCCCAGCCAGGGCTAGGTTTAAATTTTTAACTTTAAACTTTTAGGTTAAATTTCTACTCTGCCAGTTGCTTAACTTGATGACTTTAGGATTGTTACATAACTTCTTTAAGCCTCATTATTAATCCATAAAATTAGCTCAGGTAATCCTCCCTTCCCTCCAAGGCAATCAGTGTGAATGTATGCTTCCACAGTTTTCTTTATATTTATAAAATCATATATAAAGCCCTGGCCAGGTGGCTCAGTTGGTTGGAGCGTTGTCCCGTGCACCAAAAAGGTTGCAGGTTCATTTTCCAGTCAGGGCATATACCTAGATTATGGGTTCCATCCCTGATCATCAGCTGATCCATGTTTCTCTCTCTCACTCTCTCTCTCTTTCTCTCTTCCTCTCTCTCAAATCAATAAAAAAAATACACATATGTATAAAGAGGTTTCTTTTGTTTTAATTGAATTATATATGTTGTTTTGCAGTTTGCTTTCACTTGATATGTTTTGGGCATCTCCCTAGGTCATTACAGGTAGATTTTACTCATACTTTTTTTTTTTTGCAGTTGCATAATATTTCATAATATGTATATATCAAAATTTTTGTAACGATTCTTTTCTTCCCCCCACCTCCTGCCCTCATTCCATTATGTTGTTTTTAGTGTTTTTGTTTTGAGGTTTTTGTTTATTTTATTTATTTTTATTTATTTACTTATTTTTTATCCTCACCCGAGGACATTTTTCTATTTTTTGTTCAGATAGAGCGGGAGGGAGAGAGAGAGAGAGAAACATCGATGTGAAAGGGACACATCGAGTGGTTGCCACCCGCACGACCAACCAGGGCCGGGGACAAACTGCAACCGAGGTACGTGCCCTTAGCGGGAACCGAACCCGGGTCTCTCTATACCGCAGGCCGACGCTCGAACCGCTGAGCCAAACTGGCCAGGGCAAGGTTTTTGTTTATTTTAAATTAATTAATTTTTGTTTCAGATGTTTCTCCTTTTTCCCCTATTGATACCCTCCTCCCCGCTCCCGCTCCAGCCTCCCCTCGGGTTTTTTTTTTGTAACCACGAGCAGTGCTGAAATAAGCATCTAAGTATATTTATTCTTAACATGCTGGAATTTAAATTCTCCCATACACCAAAGGATATATGTTTATATATGTTTTTAAACTTTTTTTTTTTTAAGTTTAACAGATATTAACGCTGCTTGGGAAAGAAAAATGTCTTCTTTGTACCTTTTTGTCAAATTTAATGATGTCAAGATTTTAAGCTACCAACTAATGATTAACTCATAAAATTTCTATTTAACAATTGGCTCGTGCATCAGTATGAGCCAGCTGTAGCACGTAACTCCAGTATGCATGCGGAAAAGGGTACAGATCAGCAATATACAGCTCATTGTATGTCGGCAAAGTGAACATACCTGCCACTCTGGTCAGTAAATAATAGAACTATACCTTTCCCTCTTCCTTAAAGGTAACTACTGTCCTTATTGTTCTGCTTCCCTACCTTAAAACTAACTACCGTGATAATGTACTTTTGAGATATTGAAGGCCTGAAATAAAAGGATGGCAGTGATTCCTAATACACATCAAATACAAAAATCAAACAATCCCAGAAATAATGGAAATCTAACTATCAGCAGCTAATCTTTTAGGAGGAAATTGAGAAGACTACCTTCATGAACTTTTGAGTGGAAAATTTTTTTTCAGCAAGATTCAAGATAATAAAGGGGGAAAAAATCTCAAATTTGAATATTAAAATCTAAACCCTTAGTGTAACAAATGACATTATAAATAAAATAAAAGGATGAAGCCACAGCCTAGGAGAATCTATTTGGAATACATATAACTAACAAAATGTTGAAATCTAGAATTAAGGAGGAAAAGAAAACAAATAGTTCAATTTAAAAATGGGTAATTAATTCATAGAAATGAAAATCCACTGGTTGATAAACTTAAGAAAAGATACTCAAGTGTCATTCAGTATTAAGGAAATGACCAGATAAACCTCAGTTCTATATAAGTTACACTCATTAGAGTGGGGAAAAACATTTTTAAGTGTTAATGAAAATGAATACATCACTTTCTTTTTTCAAAAATTTTTTTTTCTTTATTGATTTGAGAGAGAGAAGAAGGGAGAAGGATAGAGAGATACAAACATCGATGAGAGAGAACATCTATTAACTGCTGCCTTCATGCCTCCCACTGGTTATCACGTCCACAACCTGGGCATGTGCCCTGACCAGGAATCACACCAGTGACCTCTTGGTGCATGGGTCAATGCTCACACTGAGCCATATCAGCCAGGCTGGATACAGTCACTTTGAAGAGTAATTGGACAGTAATATCAAAGATGTTTGTATACTGTTCCCCAGCAATTTCGCTTCTTAGTACATACTCCAGAGAAATTCCCTAGATGTGCACAAGGAGTAATTTATAAGAATATTTGTGCATTGGTTTTAATAGTGAGTAATAAGAAACAACTAAAATAAGCCTAAATGTGACAATAAGAGCATACCACAATTTATTTCCTTGGTGGATTTGAGTAGTAATTAATATATATTTATACACACACACAGCAGTTATAAGTAATGAAGTAATACTAAGTGTATCAACATGGATCAAACTTAAAAATAGTACTGAATAACATGACACCATTTAATAAAGTTTTATAATATAAAAATTAAATTATTAAATACATATAAAACTATACAAATTGGAAATACTAAAACTTATATTCAAGGTAAGAGAGAAGAGGAAGTAGCATGAAGGGAAAGTACACAGGGATAAGTATTAAGGATTCTGGTACTGCCAGGTTAGGTAATTCAGACCACCTTTCCATGGATATTACAAAAGTCTGTCACAATATTTAAATCTCAAAGGCTTCAGAATGCTAAAAGGCAATAAAGATTTACTAAGGCTAAGATCTTAGAAAAGGTGGAAATCCAAAGAAAAGTGAGACATTTGGTAAAACTTCCTTCTAAAAGAACTAAAAGTCTTGAACAACTTGTTTTTCATGGACTTAATGGACTAAGGGGACAGCAGTTGTACCATGGCCCATGAAAAATGAGTGGCGGAAGAGGCTCTAGTAATTTCCCCTATACTTCAGGTTGGGATCCCAAAGGACTGCATGCTTGGAACAAGGGTGACCCAGAAATTGTCCTGTTCTCACAGGGACTGTAGTTCAACATCAGATCATTTCAGTCCTTGAAATTACACTTGACCCTTGTACAATGCAACAGTTGAGGCTCTGAGCCATCACACAAAAATCCACATATAACTTTTGCCTTCCCCAAAACTTAACTAATAGCCTGCTGTTGACCAGAAGCCTTACTGATAACATAAACATTTGATTAACACATATTTTGTATGTTTT